TGTTCTTTTTTTTTTTTCCCCCTATTATTGGCCAATAAGTTATACCTGGTATATTCTTTGTGGCCTAGAACTGAAATCACGACCAGAAAATACCAGGGATCTAGGCAGCTAAAGCTGTAGTTTCTAACCTCGGAGGCAGCTCCGCCCACCTCAGCACACACGTTCCATTCCCCTTTCTCTACCAAATGGCTTGCCCATCTTCCCTATAGAGTTTTTCTTCTCTTAACCTTGGCTTTTACATGCCCTGGTATGCCATGGCCTCAACTCAACTTCTTGTTGTTCATTTACTGTCAGCCTGACTGCTAACTGCAAACCCAGGCCAGGTTTCTTGGCTCAGATTTCTGAGCAAGTGAGTCTGATTGTCTCGTGTGGCAAACACTGTCGCCCGCCCGTCCAACAACCATCCCTCCCAATCATTTTTGTTCAAGTGAACAACCCCAGGCGCCAAGTCAGAATTGGTTCGTAAGGGCAATGAGGTGTAAGAGGATCTTCTGGGGGGCTTATGGGAAAGGGTTTCATCCTTGACACAAGAGAGCAACGTCTGCGATGGAGCTGGCCATCCCCTTCCTGCCTGCGTTGGATATGTCATGTGAGGACATGATACAAGAATCTGTGGTAGCCGTTTTGTGACCATGAAGTAAAGCCAAGCGAACTACGGAGAAACCGACAGGGGAGGGCTATAACATCCTTGAGCTCACAGATTAACCAACCCTGGAGCCATTTGCCTTTAGACTTCTTGTTACATAAGATAATTAGGTATCCTTTCAGTTTAGGCTACTTTGACTCAGGTATCCTGTTACTTGAAGCCAAAAGGATCCTGAATGATATACTATATAGCTCATCTTTTCAGGCCAGGGCGCTCAGGTCCTACCTAGGTCACTAGCTGGCTACCCGGAAGATCGATTGCCTTGCAGTCATGCACCTGCCTCCAGTTCATGTGTTCATTCCCCTCTCCCAAACTTTTATTATGAAAAATTTTAACCCTATAAAAAAGTTGAAAAAATAATACGACACTCAAACGTCCTTCACCTAGATTCACCAATAGTTACCATTTAGCTACATGTGTTTATTGTGCATGTTTCTCTCCATATTGGGGGAGGGGGAATGGTATTATTTGACTGAATCATTTGAAAGTCACCGAGACTCTATGAAATTTCACTCCAAAGTACTTCGGCATTTATCTCTTAAGAGTTATTCTCAGTCTATGGCCATGCCAACCTGAACAAGCCCGATCCCTTCTGATCTTGGAAGCTAAGCAGGGTCAGGCCTGTTTAGTACTCGGTTGAGAGATCACCTAGGAAGACCAGGTGCTGTAGGCGTAAAAAATTAAAAAATAAGCTGACAAGGTCCTTGCAATCTGTGAGGTCGACCAAGGGTTGCCTCACCTAGAAATTATTTTTTTAAAAGTTATTCTCCTTTTTTTTATAATTGTCATTATAATAAGTTTAATATTGATTATATTATTCTCTAATGTAAAAATCTTATTAAATGTGTTCCATTTTCCCAGTAATGTCCTTTGGAGTTTTTTGTTTGTTTTATTTTATTTTTGTCTTTGTTTTTGTTTTGTTCTTATCTCATCAAGAATCATATGTTGTTTTAATGGTCACATCTTAAAGATTTTTATTCTAAAACAGTTCTCCTGCCTTGTGTTTTTGTTCTTGTTGTTTTTGGTTTATTTGCTTATTTTTTATCTATCCTGTCATTGACTTTCAGATCAGTACTTTTATAGAATGTCCCACAGTTTGGATGATCTGGTTATTTCTTCAGAATTAAATTTAGTTAAAGATTTTTACCATAAACTCTGCAAAGGAGATGTTGGATCTTTCTCAGCAAGAAACACGTGATGCCCTTGTGTCCTATTACTGGTCATGCTAAGTTTAATCGGCTGATTAAGTTGCTGTCTGCTTGAATTCTCCATTGTAAAAGCATTTTTCCTGTTTATAATTAATAAGTAATCTGTGGGATGATACTTTAAGAATATGAGAATATCTCTTCCCCAACAACTTTTATTCAATGTTTTGGTATCCATTAATAAACCTAGCCTAAATCAACTATTATATTAACGATTGCAAAAAAAAATCACAATTTTTCTTAATCATTCCTTCTCTATCATCTGGCACTCTATTTTTTAAGAAAAAGAGCTTTCTCTTCCCTCACACTCAATTTTTAAATTTTCTTGAGTTTCAGTATGAACTCAAATTATTCATTACCACCAATTTTCTTTACGATTTTTAATTTGTTTCAGGTTTGGCCCCTTCCAACGGGTCTCTGTGTCCTTTTCACAGAGTCTCATCAGTTTTTGAGCACTTCTTTGCTCTCAAGCTGAGGAAGTCCCAAACTCATCTTGTACTTTGTACCTAGATCCAGACCTGGAATCAGCCATTTTTCCAAGGACACTTGGTTCCTCTTAGTGGGAATTAGTTCTCAGTAACCAAGAACTGGGTAGCAGGAGTGCTCATTGCCACTGGACTGTGATTGCTTCTAGGTTCTTTCAGTGGACAAAACCGAGAAGTACTTCTATTTTAAATCATAACTTCATCTTGATCCCCCAACTTCAATTCAACACCGTGGGGTTCTTCCTCTTTTCTCCCCAGTCCATATTTTTATCTCCTTTCTTCCATGATGAGAACCCTAATTTTCATCAACATCAATATATTTACTCATTTGCTCCTCCTTACAATACACCCAATAATATCAGAATTACTACATCCATAGCACTACCAGCAACAAACCTACGAATAAAGTTCAAGATTGTTTGCCGCTTATTTTAATCTTTAAACTGCAGCCCACTAAGAGTAAAGGTCTGTTTAAAAACCTAAAACCTTGAAATAGGTTCATTTATTTCTCTTTATATTAGATGTTAGGGTTTTCCTACCTAGTTGTTAAATTTTTTTCTTTGTGGTATGGGCTTCTTAAAAATCATTTTTTACAGTTTTACAATTAACATATAACATTGTATACATTTAAGACGTACAACATGATGATTTGATGTAGATACATATTGTGAAATGATTACTGCAATAAGTTTAATTAGCATCCATCACAAAATATGAGATGCTTAACAAATTTGCATGTCATCCTTTTGCAGTTCCCATGCTAGTCTTCTTTGCTTCATTCCAATTTTAGTTTATGTGCTGCCTAAGCAAGGACCGATTTAATTTTTTGAATATGTAAAACAGTAGCATAATTTAAAAGTCAAAATTATATGGAAAGAAAAAATAAAGGAAAAAAGCCTATATGGAAAAGTAACTAAAACAAGTTTGTTTAAACCCCTGTACATAACCAATTTTATTAGTTTCTGGTTTATCCTTCCTTATTTGCAAAATAAGCAAATATGTACACATGTGCATATACACACATATTCTTATTTTTATGTTTTTTCACTTAAATAGTAGCATTCCACTTCGTATTGTTTTGTTATACATATGCAAGTCTTTCATAGTTTTCACTATGTATCTATGTGCTCTCTCAACTATATTCGGCATTTAGGAAGTTTTCATTTTAATGGTTATTTTTATACTAATGCTAAAATAACCTTAGCCCCCTCTACTCTTACATTCGTTATTTTCTATTGGCTTCCCAACAATATCAAAGTTAATAATTGCTTCTTTCCTCTCTTATCTTTATCTACCACCATCTCATTTGAATAAATATCCTTTTACCCCGTCAGTAACTATAAAACAATCAACAAATATATTCTACCTTTTATCTCTCTTACCATTCTCCCCTTTTAATTATTGTATAATAGCTACTTTGCCTGGACATATACTCTCCTTATAAACATCATAGTTGTATGGGTAAATAAATATTTTATGCACCATCAGTTCTTAGGCCAATGTTTTTACATTTTGGTTATCTGAAAAAAACTTTCTTTAGTAAATTCCTCAAGAAGAGCACATGGAAGCAATATTCTGTGGTTATTTCATGGTCAAAATTTGTGGCATTTTGGCAAGTTATAAAATCTTTGGCTCATGTTTTCTTTCCTTGAATATTTTCGATATGTTACTCCATTTTTTCTGGAATATAGTCCAAAGACAAACTTATTTCCTTTCCCATTTAGATGACTTCATATTTTGACTAGATGCCCAAATGATTTTTTTCTTTTTTTGGAAAGCCTAGAAGGTTTTTAGACTATATCTTGACATCGATCATTCTGGGTTGATTTTCCTAGGTACTAGTGTCAAAATCTTTTAATTTACAGAAAATTTTCTTAAACATTAGCTTTTTAAAATTTAAATGATTTTTTAAGTTCTCATTGCTTTTTGTTTTCTTCTTTGTGGGTCTTCTATTATATATATATATTATATATGTGTGTATATACATATATATGTGTGTGTGTGAGTGATATATATACATATATATGTATATGCGTATGTGTGTGTGTGTGTGTACATATGAATAAAAATTCAGAGCCAAAAATATACTAGCTCCTTTAGACCTTATCTTGGACCCCAAACATCCACATCTTTACTGGAGTGTGCAAAAACCCCTCCAAATTTCAGTTATTCCTCTCAAATTAGTCTATTCTGCTTTTCCGTGTGTACCTATTGCCAGATTTAGAGTTCTCCTGTTCTCAGGTCTGTCAGAGACCTCATTGCTCCCTCCTACACTGACACTGATACAATGTGCATCTTTAGCTATTGGTAGTTTTCTTCTACCTGCTCATAATTTGGGGTTCATGAGGACATCTTGTTCATCTAGTTTTTTTTTTTTTTTTAAGTATTGACACTGGGCCTTGGATTTGGCCATTAGTGTTGATGTGCGTGGTTTTTTTTTTTTTTTAATTAGTTTCAAGTATACAATACATTGGTTAGGTATCTATATAGTCCATAAAACGATCCCCTCCACCATTGTTCCCTCCCTCCTCTGGCCCTCCACCTAGCTGATGTGTCTTTTTTTAAGGGGGCAGGGGAAGTTGGGGATATTTTAAAACCTCTATGACACTGCCGCCATCTTTCCATAATTTTCTCCATTGATTTATTTGTTCATTCATGTATTCAATAATTTTGATCCCTGAATTTTGCAACATCTGTTGCCTCTTCAGATTCTCTTGGTGCCATTATGTTTCAGAATCCAATGCCACTGTAATTATTTGAAAACACTTACGGTCCATAGGATTCTGCCACATAGGGCTGATGATTCATTATCGGGGGAGGTCAAGAACGCTTCTTCCAATAGCCTCTGTGCAGCCAGACTGAATAGCTATATGCCCTATGTTTCTTGCTTCTCCTGCCACTTCTGGACTCAGAGAAAATGCATTTAATCTGTCTTCCCAAATGGCTGCTGGAAGTATCACATAAAGCAACGTGTGGCCGGGGAGAGTTAACTGAAGCCAACGTGCCACAAATTATGACCAGGACCAGTGGGAATTTGGAAAAAGAACTGGGAAGATAGAGTCCTTCTCCCTTCTCCCTCCCATGGACTATTACAAGACACATTTTCTTGTTCTGCCTATCCTGAGACATCCATGAAGCTCACAAAGGCATTATCTGTTGGCCAAGGAGTGCCGCATGACACTGCCTCTTCCTCGTAGAGGAGGTGCCTATTCTAATTAACACAGGAGACAGAGGAGCAGAGGAGTATAAACAACAATGGCACGTAGCACAAAGGAGAAAAAGCTCAGAAACCATCAAGTCTGACTTTCGACCTAGTGCCTTTTACTGTATCCTTGCCAGGCGGTCCACACGCTGCTGGACTGACACCCCCAAGGAAGTGCTCCCTATTTCACAAGTTTCAATTGTTTGAAATTTCTGCCTTGTTCTTTCTGTTGATTAATTTTTTGAAGTCATACTTATTGATCTATAATTTACGTAGTTTATAATATAAATTGTGGTATAATAATTATAATTGCATATGAACTATGTATAATCATATAAACTAGATATTAATATACTAGCTACAAATTATAATTTATATTGTATACTATATTATATGTTACATAATATTATGTTACATATAATATAGTACATTATCTAATCATATATAATTATAATAATTACAAATAATTATATTAATTTTATATACTATATAAATATATGATTGTATTATGTGTATATATTATAACATTATTCATAATAATATAATTATATATAATATGCTATACTCTATAATTATATTATAATTTATAATTACATAACATACTATATATTATATAACTTATAATTATATAATTACATTATTATACAATATGATAATATAAACTATAATTTATCATTTAATCTATAGTTAACCGTTCCTAGATATAAAGTTAAATGAGTTTTTACAAATGAATACACAGTTGTGTAACCATCAACACAATCAAGATATAGAATATTTCCACCACTCCAAAAGGATCCCTTGTGCTACTCCACAGTCAACGTCCTCCTCTTACCCCCAGCAACCATGGATCTGATTTCTGTCCCTTTAGTTTTCACTTTTCGTGAATGTCATATAAATAGAACCATACAATATATAACATTTTGTGCCAGACTTCTTTCACATAGCAAAACGCTCTTGTGATTCAGTCATGTTGTTGCACATATCAGTAAGTTGTTACTTTTTATTGCTGAGCTGTATTCCATTTAATACAATGGAAAGGTAAATTTATTAAAGAACCAATGGGATCAGGTGCCCACTGCTGACACAGAGCAGCCACATCCCTAAACATCCGCACTGGTGACTAACACCACTCAGGGCACAGGAAGTGCTTCTCCACATCCCTTGCCCTCTGTCCTGGAAACAAAAGGTGACTTTATCTAAATATGATGAAGAATCGTGGGTTGTCCTGCTGCCAACATCATGGAAGGCCACTGCTTAGAAGTATGAGGAGAATTTCATCTGTGGGAGCATTTAGGTAAGAGAAAAGACAAATTAATTAACTTGTCAAATCCTTCCTCTCGGTTGTCATGAATGCTATAGATTCTTGCATAATAAAATATCATTCCCCAGGAGTACTGAGCATCTATTTTCTTGCTTTCTTTCAGTTCCAGTTTGTGGACCTACAAGTATTCACAAAGTATTGCAGTATTTGCAATAGTTACACATGGCAGTCAAAACAATATTATTTTAAAATCTTTTTTGTGATCCTAAACAATATTATTTTAAAATCTTTTTTGTACATAGTCTAGACATAGCATGTTTGAAGCATGAAGCATAATACCAGTTTTTGCATTAGCAATGAATGGACACTGAATGCAAGAATTTCAAATAATTTTATGTTTATAAAAATATTTACAAACATAAAAATATTTGTTTTAATATTTTTGTTTAAGTTTTAACATTCATTCATTATTATTTCTATTTTGCTCTTTAATTTTAATAGTTACTTTTGATAGTTATTTTTCTTTCTAAAGAAAAATAACTTGTGGAGACCATACAGGAAAAATTATTTTCAATTATTCAATATTTTCACATCTACTTTAATTACATTTTTATGAAGTATATGCAAACTTGGAACCTTTGGGATAAGATTACAATTTATCTTTTATTTCTATACATCAGTGAGAATGAGAACAAGATGATATTGAACTAGAACCACAAAATATTAAAGTGGAGCTCAGCAAAGTAAGGACTGAAAAGAAAGAAGTAGAACATGTGCAAAGAAGTGGTCCGCTTCGATTTTTTAAATTGCAGACAATGAAAGTAAGCAGACTTCCGTTAAACATGACTGACATGGAATTCACAAACAAGCATTAAAATTCTTCATTCAGTGAAGATTTCCTTACTGAGCAAAACAATGAAAATAAGGAATAAAAGTAGTCTTAGCAAATCCACAACTTGAACAGGTCAGATGAAACGCCTGTAACTTTATGTTCTATACTAATAAAGTTTTTTTTCCTGATCGAAAAAGACAATGAGAAAGATAATTTTTTAATACAAAATTCACAACTCAGAAGACACAAATGCAATTCTGGCCTGCCATTAGAAGTGAAAGGAATTGTCAGAAAATTGGCAAATTGGATAAGAAAGATGAAGACTTTGGCTCTTTATTGTTTATTGGAGAGTTATCCTGGAAAAAGTCTGTCATACTCTTCTGAAATCATGAGCGTGCTCCCAAAGAAACATAAGTCGATTCAAATTATTGGTTGTGAAATTTTCCATTGAGTAGATATGGCAGAAAATTTAATAGAGCATATTAAAAGGTAATGTTTTTCAAGTGGAGAAAGAA